TCTTATCATTCTAATAGAATGATTATATTATATTCCTAAGGAATAATTTTCTTATTATTCCAAAGGATCAATTATTTTATCATTCCTTTGGAAAAATTTTCTTATCATTTTAATAGAATGATTATTTTATCATTCCTAAGGAATGATTTTCTTATCGTTCTATTAGAACAATGCATTTATTATTCCTAAAGAATAATTTTCTTATCATTTTATTAGAATGGTGCATTTATCGTTTCTAAGGAATGATTATTTTATTATTCTATTAGAATGCTTCCTTTATCGTTCTAATAGAATGGTTCTTTTATCATTTCAAAGGAATGATTCCAAATGAATAATAATTGAATTATTTGACCAGAATGATTTTTTTATCATTCTAGTCAAATGATAAAGCAAAAATCATTCGATTAGAATAATTATATTATTTCAAATTAAATGATAAATAAAAAATCGTTCAATTGAAACAATTATATTATTTCAATTGAACAATAAAATAAAATCATTCTAAATCAAATAATAAATAAAAATCATTTTAAATCGAACGATAAAACAAAAATCGTTCTAAACTAAACAATAAGTAAAGAACCATTCAATTAGAACAATCAATCATATGATAATAAAAACATAATTTTATTAATAATTTATTTCCAATTTACTTTAAATCTTATATTGATTTAATATATTTTTGAATATACTATTTGAGTTTATTTCTGGCATATATAGGAATATTTATATAAATAAGTTTAATTTTTTCACTTTTTAAAAAATAATTTTAATTTAAACTTTATTTTTTTACAATCATTTCAAAATTTTCTCTTTTTATATTTAACTAAAATGCTGTAAAAAAAATCGTCTCAAGAACAAAAAGATCTTAAGTTAAATTTTAGTCAATTTTTCTGATTTTTTATTACTTTTTATAATAGAAATATACCTTCAACTATCAAATCAGATGAAACTTAAATTGAATTTAGTCGATTTTTCTGATTTTTTTACTTTTTATAATAGAAATATGCCTCTAACTATCAAATCAGATGAAACTTAATTGAATTTTAGTCAATTTTTTAAAAAATATACAAAAAACAAACTGATTTTTTACTTTTTATAAAAGAAACATATCTCTAACTATCAAAATCAAACAAAACTTAAGTTAAATTTTAGTCAAATTTTCAAAAAATATACAAAAAACAAACTGATTTTTTTTACTTTTTATAATAGAAACATGCCTTTAACTATCAAAATCAAATTAATCTTAAGTTGAATTTTAGTTAATTTTTCAAAAAATATACAATAATAAACTGATTTTTTTTATTTTTTATAATAAAACATGCCTCTAACCATCAAAATTAAACGAAACATAAGTTAAATTTTAGTCAATTTTTTAAAAAATATACAAAAAACAAACTGATTTTTTTACTTTTATAATAGAAACATGCCTTTAACTATCAAATTAAGTTGAATTTTAATGATTTTTCTGATTTTTTTTACTTTTTATAATAGAAACATGCCTTTAACCATCCAATCAGATGAAAATTAAGTTGAATTTTATCAATTTTTCTGATTTTTTTGTTTTTTATAATAGAAATATATCTCTAACCATCAAAATCAAATGAAATTTAAGTTGAATTTTAATCAATTTTTCTGATTTTTTATTTTTTTTTCAAAAATAGCAATATTACTATAATGAATATTCAAGACAATTTAAAGGGATTTTAGAGAAAAATAGATTATATTTTTATTATTTTACATGGTTTTTCTGTTTTTTTGCTTATATTTTTTAAATAGAAAATTAATCAGTGAGTTTTGGTAATATTTATATTATGTTTTTGCAAATTATATTAAGTTTTTATTATTAATAAAATTTTAATATTTAATAAATTTAATAAATATAATAAATTAATTTTATATGCTTATTTGACCAAATTGATACCAAATTGAGGCTAAATTTAGGCTGATTTATGGTTATTTAAATTCTGAATTGATGCTGAATGATGATAAATTAAGATTAATTTTAGGCTGATTTATAGTTATTTAAATTTCTACAAATAGCTATGTCTAATTAGAGTTGATCAGCATTTATTAGCATTTGAATTATTGCTGAATTAAGGCTAATTTTAGGCTGATTTATGATTGAATTTAAGTTCTGAATTAATGCTAAATGGCCATATCTAATTGGAATTGATCAACATCTATCAGCATCTATTTGTATTAATCAGAAAATATGAAAAATCAGCTATAAATAGTATTAAAATTGACCTAAAATTAGCTATTCAATTTTTAGCTAATTTGGACTATTTTGACTAATACTTGAAAACTAAATTCAAATTAGTTTGATTAAATGAATTTCTTAAAATTTTTTTTTGTTGATTTTTTATTATTATCATACTTGTTAAATAGCTGATCAATTATATTAAATGATTATTAACTAAGAAAGTACAAGATGTATTAAGAAATTTAAAGAAAAACTTATAATTACTTCCTCATTTTCTATATAATAAGCTATATAGTAAATATTCAAATTTCTCTATTTAAAGCAAAAATGAAGTCTATTAATAAAAAAATTTTTTATATATATTTAACATCAATTGATTAATCAATATATATAATCTAAATAAAAATTCAGGTAAAATCTGATTATTATGCCCAATCTGAATTTAAAGTCTAGGTAATATTAATTATGCCTTAACAAAAAATTTTTGAAATATCCAATTGAGTCTGATACTGCCTAAATCTGAAATTCAATTCAAATTATTTGAAATTCTCTAAAATTTAATTATTCACGTAAAAATTAAATATATAATATTATTGGTAAGATAAACATTAATGCATTTACATCTTACAAATTATAAGCTAATTCAACTACTTTAACTGATAATACTTTATTATCTACTCAGGTGATCAATCACTAGAACTAATCAAAAAAATTGATACTTTATTATCTCTGGAAAGAGTGTTAACTCAAATGGATTTGAAATATAGTAACAGGAGTAGAGGTAATTTTAAAATTTTATTTTTTGAATGCTATATCTTAATTGTATGTATTTTTTTTGAATTAAAATAACTTAATCACAGTACTCATCATTAAATCTAAAAAAAATAATAATTCATTACCTAAACAAAAGTTGGTAAGAAATCTAAATCAATAGTTTAGGAAACATATATTTAATAAGAAAAGAAAATTTTAAAAGATCATTGGAATGCAACATATAAATTTGTTAATATTTTAGTTTTTAAATGTGAAATTTTTATTTTTAAATATATCAAATTAATAAATAATAAATAATATGTTAATTGTATATTATGATTAATATAGCATATTAATTAGCCTAATTTATTAAAATAGCAACTTTAATGTATTAATAAATAAATTTTTGTAATTAGTTTATATTATATTAATTTATTAATTTTTAGTATTAAAAGTTTAAATTAGCATTTATTTTGATTTTCTAACTAGATTTGAAAGGTTTTGCAAGTATTGTTTAATTTCGCTAAAATATTATCTAGTTTTGCCAGTTTTATCTTAATTTTAGATTATCAGAAAGTTTCAGATTTTCATTCTTAAAAGTTAAAATATTTCGATCATAAGATTTTGGTTTTGCTTACAACTTTAAAGTAAGTATTAATTTATTACAAATTATAGTTTAATTATTAGCAAATTATTTATTTAAAAAGTTTTAATACTATATCAGATATAGATTGCTAAATTGTTCTTTCTGAAGTGGAGTTTTTCTTATTTCAATTCTTTGTTTTCACACTTTTTTTAATCCACTAGTCAAATCCTCTTTTAAAATCTTACTTGATAATAAATAAAGCTTAGACTATTTTATTAATGATGATATATTTGCATGTGTTTTCAGATCTAGTTTGTTGAAAAGATCTTCAACTTGTTGTTAATATATAACAATATAATAAATATAAATATAACTTTTAATGAAAATTATAAATATTAGAAAAATGATATAACAATAGACTATTATAAATGCAGAATTGAGCAATTTCTTTAAGAAAATTGCTATTTTAATATAGCAATTCACTTAAACTAAAATTATTTGTAATTCAATTATTTCTATCATCTTCTAAATTCTAAATAAATAACAATTCTAAATTAGAAAGTGAAGAACTTCAAGATTTTTGAAAAACAACATAATAAAAGCTAGATGTAAATAATTTTGTATTATCCTCTCCAAGCTGACAAACTACTAATAATAAATAAAGCCATAGTGAAAACTATTTTTGAAAAGATTATAAGACTTTTGCAATACTATATCTAAACCATTAAAAAGAATCTCAAAATCTTTATTTGCTAGTAAGATTTTGAATAAATCCATGCTATTCAAAAATTTTATTAGGCATTTTATGAGCATATCACCCTAGAGGCAATGCAATTAATTGTTCATCTTTATATAATCATGAAATATTATCTTATCTTACTGTAAATTGCATTAGAGATTCATAAAATGCTTAACAAAGTTAACTAAGCATTTAACTTGAATATTAAGTTTTGGATCAGAAAGTCAAGATTTGTAAATATATTAATCACTAAGGTAAGATTTAGGTGTTTTTTTATAGTTTTCAATTTATTAATAAACCAATCTATAAATTTAATATGAGCAGAATGATGATTAAGATACTGCTTAGCTATCACAATTTATAACCCTAATAAGATTGAAGAGGTAACTGATATTGATTGTAATGAAATTACAGTAGTTCATCATATAATTCTTGAATAATATGAGCATTTATGTTAAGTGGCTTGTCTTTGTCACTTGAATCATAATTATTATGAAGCTTTCACACTAAATAAAGTAAATTGTATACATGAGATTTTCTTGAGAAACCAGTATTATTTGAAATTGTTTCAAATGCTTCTTGTTCAAAATTATTAAGTACAATTTGAATAATGTGAAGTCTACAGCCAATTCAAATTGAATTTGTGCTACCTTTTTTTTAAAAAAGAACAATAGCCCCCATTTTTCACTAGACATATAGGCTGTATTATCCGTCACCTATAATGCACATTTAATAAAATCTAAACCATCTTGTTGTATATATTTTATAATAGTATCAGATAAAGTATTCGCATTACAATTAGAAATATCTTCACGATGAGCTACATTTACAACTGGTATTTGATCCTTTTGATTCCAAAATTGATAGCATAAAAAAAAGTTTTTTGCTTCATCTCGTGTTGATTTATCAACTAAGGTTCCAAATGATAGAGCATTAATTGCCTGATGGGTTTGAGTATCAATATGTAATTTAGAAATGTCTTGATGCCAAGTACGCAATGTTGATACTGTTAACCAATTTTGTGGTGGCTCTCTAACTAGAAATTCTTAGATTAACTGCATACATTCTACAGTAGAACGTAATGATACTTGACCAACTTGCGAGATACTAGTTGCAAGCCAAACAGTATTGGTTGTGTATTCTCGTTTATTTATTTGAAAAATAGATTTTAATTGCTTCTGAAAGTTGTATCTGTGTGATGAACCAATGATCGAATTTTATATATACGATTTGCATTTTGATTCCAAGAGATTGTGTTTTTCTAATTAAAGTTTGATTTTGCCGATGAAATTTTTTGCAATCAATCTTTAGATTTGTATTGGATATTTGTAATTCTTGATATGTGGATTTGTTCTTATAAAAAGTTTGAGTAAAATACTCATATGCTTTGTTTTGAAGATAGGGAGAGATAATTTTGCCTTCGTTTAGATCTTTAGGTATCGCATAGTTTTAATAAGATGATTTGCCGCAAGGACTTCTTTCCCAGATAATTGTTGAACTGAAGAAATTAAATTAATTTGTTCTTTGCTTGATTCTGACAGCTTTGTTATAAGATTCAAAGTATTGTCAAGTTTTTATTCATCCATCTCATTTATAATGTCATTAATTTTTCTTTTCTTATCATTTTTCTTCGTCTCTAACTTTTAGCCTGCATTTCATGAGCTTTTTTTAATTGACGAGCACGGCTTGAAATTGGAGGCATTTTCCCGGTAAAAAATCCTAAATTTTTAAAATTCGATAACTTTGGTTTTAATTAGCATTCAAACAAATTAAACTGCAAATGAGTATAATATTACTTGAAAAAATAATTTGACACTTTCTTAAAAAAAAACACAAAGAAAAAATTTTTTATTGATAATGTTAATAAAAAATGTATGCAAAGGCTTATTTCATAATGAATTTTTTTTTAAAAAAAAGGAAACGTGTCATTTGAAAGTAAAGTTAACATCTGACATCAAAAATTCTATGAAATTATGCAAATAAAAATTCTAACCATTATTAGTAGTTATTCAGCATATCTTTGCTGAATTTCAAGCGAAAATGACGAGAAGAATTCAAAGTTATAAAACGAAAGAAATTTAACGAATTATATAAGAAAATTGTTATAAAATAGTTTAAATGATAGTATAAAGTAGTTTAATACGAAAAAAAATTCAATTGTAAAAATTACTATAGGACTTGATATAGTTTTGTTAAACTATGCTGACAACCAATTGATCACCCTAACGTAACGTGTTTGTATGTTTTGATTTCAACAACTTTCTATTTCTTTGTATAGATTTTGAAAATTTCTTTTCTTAAACGTCCATTATTTGAGCATAAATTTTTCAAAACAATTTTTATATTTTTAAAAATTGATTATAGCTGATAATAAAATAACAACTGGCTAGGTTAAAACAGTTTGATTCACACCCCGTTGTTAATCATGCCTAATACTAGTTTTGAAGAAAGTGGAAAGCGTTTAACACCAGGGATCGATCATCAGTATGCATATTCCATAGGATTAAAATCACAGTTTAATGTTCGAATGTTTATTTTTTTTCCTTAAAAATCAATGATTCTGTTGAAAAAAATACATACAGTATATAGTATATATAAATAAATAAATGAAGTAATGTTCCGAACAAGATCGACAGATCCGAGATCGACATTTACAATTAAACTTAAAAAATAAAAAAAACCAAATGGAGAATTTCGATATGAAAATCGTAAAATTGAATTTGTTTTAAATTTTGAATGAAACAAAATTAAAATAAAAAAAACCAAATGGAGAATTTCGAGAAGAAAATTGTAAATTTAAAGGATTTTCACAAATTTTTCTTAATTGTTGAATGAAAAAAAAAAGATTTCTTAATGTTTGTTGAATGAAAGAATTGGATACCGAAATGGGTTAATCTCCCTGGTATCTTGTAATTTTTTCCGAGGGTTACAAACATTATATATAAGGTCTTCGAGTTTTCGACAGGGAAAAAAATTATTTCAAAATTATTTTACTATGAAGAAAGGTTTATTATACATTCTTATAAATTTTTCAACGGTAGTTATTGCTTATTATTGATGCTGCCAAATGGTTATATGTATTGGTTTTAATAGTATTATATACGTCATCATCATTGCCAAGTAATTTATGATAATCCACCTTTTGATGAATAGTAAAACTAGATAATATTGACTTGTTTGCAGCAAAGAAATTATTGTGTAATGTATCTTCAAAATGAAATTGGAGATGTTCACTTGCGGCTGATAAATATGATGAAATATCTGTATAGGTTTGCCCGTTGCCGGTAAATGATTGTTCAACATTGTCCATTAAACTTGGAAGAACGTACCTATTCACCATGTTAACCGTAAAAAATCCTATTTTATCCATCACTTTCGTATCCCTCTTTTCTATTGGGTGGGAACCCGAACCCTTACTCAACGTTTCAAGGGTTTGTTGAATATTAGGGTTTTCTGATTCTCGATAGTATGTCGACATTTCCCTCATTGCAGAAGATTCGCACAATTCTATGTTATTGGAGCAACCAACTCCATCAACTATTACGCTCTTGAATCTGTCTAAATTGGTTGGACTTTCTGCAAATTCTATCCAATCTTCTGCTTCAGTCATTTCTATTCCTTCTGCTTCTCCAAATTCTATAGCATCCATTGCAGCAGCAGATTCGGCAGAGATTAAGCTGATTTCTGAGGCTTCGCCGGTGCCAAATATTGCTACTATCGCTCCATTTATTACACCCGCTCCACCTCCACCTATTACACCTACACCGAACACTAAATATGATCCAGCAGCATAAAGACCAAGTATAGCAATGGAAACAACTGCAGTAATTATAAGCCATTTTAAATATTTATTTTTATGTTTAGGCTGTGGCGGCGGTGGTGGGATCAATTCTTTTAGATTATCGGGAGTCATTTTAACACTTAGTTCAGTAAGGGCATCATGGAACCCTCGATGGTGATTCTCCCAATAATTGAATACCTTGTTTGCCGAATTAATCATGTGATATGTAGCAACACCATATTCATCAGGACTGAACGAGCTGCCTGAACCGAACTGAAGGGATGCAGCGTATGTTCCAACTTCATTACCAGTCAAATAATCGATGCATTCGGCTACATTTTCTGTTTTATTAATTGGAAAATTGGGTGCATCTGGGTGTTTACCTTCACTGCAATAGTGGGCAGTTAGGTCAGTTGGAAATACATAAACTGGGTTCGGTACTTTTTCTTTATGAGTAATTTTAGGGGTTGGAATAAGTTTCGTCGTGTAATTACTAAAATTACATTTGTAGTTGTTAAGGTTTTTTTCGGTAAACGACGAAACTGTAAGATCTTTCCTGTTTATTTTCACCATAAAGCTGAAGGTGCAATCATAGGTACATCCCCACATAGTGATGTTTACAGTTGTTAATGGTGGCTCATGACTTATATGTTGAAGTTCCCTGACCAAAAGAGACGTCGAATAGCTAATTCCATCATCGTCTATATGGAACGCCGCAAGATTAGAAGGTACGACCTGGTCGCACATCTTAAAATCATGTTCTACGGTGATCCAATCAGCAATAACTACCGTTGAAAATTTTATAAGAATGTATAATAAACCTTTCTTCATAGTAAAATAATTTTGAAATAATTTTTTTTCCCTGTCGAAAACTCGAAGACCTTATATATAATTTTTATAACCCTCGGAAAAAATTACAAGATACCAGGGAGATTAAACCATTTCGGTATCCAATTCTTTCATTCAACATTAAGAAATCTCTTTTTTTTTTTCATTCAACAATTAAGAAAATGTTGTCAAAATCCTTTAAATTTACAATTTTCTTGTCGAAATTCTCCATTTGGTTTCTTTTATTTTAATTTTATTTCATTCAACATTTGAAACAAATTTAATTTTACGATTTTCATATCGAAATTCTCCATTTGGTTTTTTTTATCAAGTTTAATTGTAAATGTCAATCTCGGAACTGTCGATCTTGTCCGGAATTAAGGATTAGAATCGAATTAATCGAAAATCGATAATCGTTGTTAAACCTGGAATCGTCTCAAAACCAAGCTAACAAAATTAATAAACTTAATATCACAATTATCTCAAAGGCCTTTCCTAAGAGAAATTAACGATTATCTCACAAAACAATTTATTATTTCGATTCACTTGTGTAGTCAGTTTATAAGTCTAGTCCCAAGACTTATCTCAATCTCTGAGCATAACTCTGTCGACTCAAGGTCAACTTACAGGGCTATTTATATAAAATTGTTAACTAGTACTATACTACGCTTTTTGATAATTATAAACGATACTAGATAATATAATATGACAAGGCCTCTAAATGTGATTTATCTTAATCAGAGAATTTTGGTCGAGGCGAAATTAGTTTAGAAGGATTTAGGCTTAAAGCAAAACTAGACTAAAAATTCTTCAGAGATTATCTGGTAATTTACACTAACTAGCAGAATTGAACAATCTCTTAATCAATTTTTTACAAATAAAAAAAAAATATTTAAAAGGCAATGAAAACAAATATATGAAGCTGATGGTGATGTATATTTTTATAAATTTATTTGGGATTATGTATCAAGATAAATCTTAGTTAGAGTATTCGATGATATATCTAAATCAAGTTCTTATGATTATGATGATAATGTATTTTGTCATCAAAAACGGATGAGATTCTCTTCATTGCAAAATAATATACAATTGTCATAACTATAACATCACAATTAGAATAAACAAAAAATTAAAAAATAACCATAAACAATATTAATTTGATAGTATACAAAGTTGGTTTTGTGACTACCTTAACGAAAAAGATGATCGAAAAAGATAATGAGTCAGTTTTGAACATTATGAATACATTTATACTGTATATAAAAATGTAGTACATGTTTGAGATTGATAATTCTTTTAAATTACTTTTTCTATTCCTTTTTTGCGTTATAATATTTTTAAAATTTATCTTTCCATTCTTGCCTTATCGTAACTGTCAGGAATGTTAGAAAAAGAAATTTACAACTTCAATCATTAACGTACTGATCGTTCGATTTTGCATAAAACAAACTAGAGAAACTTGGGTCCAAATTTGCTATAATGCACACAAAAAACAATTTATACAAGTAGAGCTTTAGGTTCCTTAATTTCTTGGTTTTTGTTCTAAATATTCATCTATAAATTTGAAACAAGGTGTGATAATATTTGCTTAAATGATTATTTTAATAAATCATCAAAAGCAGACATTATATATTAAAATTCCAATCGAACGTCCAAATCGAAGTATAGCGTTTCGTTTGTCTATAGATGAACTCTATAACAACATTTACAAGGAAGTATTCCCTGGAAAACTTCGATGGCATATTGTTACTATGATGAAATATAATAATTAAATAAAATTACTTATATAGGTTATTTATATAACTGCAATTTCTGACAAGCTTATATCTTTGATTCAGTTAGACTAGATAGAATTTTTGTATTTTCTTAAATTTACTTACTTATTAATACATAGTCTACTAAGTATCCTTCGTTTTACAGCTCTATGAATGAATATTAAAAGTTCCTGAAACTGGAAATGTTTAAATATACTACAAAAAATGTTTTTCTTATACTTTAAATACTTTAGTTATAATTCTTTATTTTTGAAATTATATAAATTATTTATACTTACAAAAATTATTTTATGATATCCTAACCTTATTATAGTTGGT